AGAGTCTCTCGCTGTGTCAACTATAAGCCGTTGTTTGACCCGCATACAAACCGCACACCTCACACACCTCACACACTCTCACACTCACGCACAGACGAGGATAGGCTGGTTACCCGCGGCCGCCGCAAACTGGTTTTACGATCAAACGCGAAAAATCACACGCGCTTCGCCGCATCCGTTTACGTTACATACATGCAGCAGCTGCAGCAGCTAGTATAGCGCGCCTGCAGTGCGTGCAGGATGCAGATGCGTGCGTGCGTGCGTGCGTGTGTACGTGTGTGTGCGTGCGTGCGTGTGTGCGTGTGTGCGTGCGTGCGTGCGTGCGTGCGTGCGTGTGTGCGTGCGCGCGAGCGTGCGTGGTGGTGTGTATACAATGGGTGCTCCCTATAACAGAGTGCGAGTTCGCGTTCTGCGCTCATTCCCCAGTCGCCCTCTCTCTTCTTCGTTCACTCCCCGACCGGCCTCTCTCCCAGTCGGTCACTTCCCGAATCCTCACCCGCCCTCACTCCTCCCCTCCTGTAGGACTATACATACCTTTTCCTTCTCTCTTCTTTCGCCTTCCATACTTTCTCCCCCATCTTCAATTTCTTCTCCTCCACCTTCCCTACCTCATTCGTTACCTTCCCTACCCTCATCTCCGTCCTCCCCTCCTCCTCCGCCTTCTCTACCTCCTCCACCGTCTTCCCCTCCTGCTCTGCCTTCTCTACCTCCTCCACCGTCCTCCCCTCCTCCTCCGCCTTCTCTACCTCCTCCACCGTCTTCTCTACCTCCTCCACCGTCTTCCCTCCCTCCTCTTCCGCCTTTCCTCCTCCCTCTCTATCAGCAATGGATGTGCGCTGCACGCGTCTGCTCGCGTGTTTGCTGATTGCTAGATGATTACCACCGCGTGCCGTGTTTGTTTAAACAACGACTATCACCACGGTGACGGAGGATGCGGATGATGACGGAGGCTGCGGAGATGACGGAGGCTGCGGATGATGATGATGATGACGGAGGCTGCGGAAGATGATGGATGCTGATGATGACGGAGGCTGCGGAAGATGATGGATGCTGATGGAGACGGAGGCTGTGACGGATGCGGAAGATGACGGAGGATGTGACGGAGGATGCGGATGTTGCAGATGATTATGGATGCAGCGGGTACTCACGGAGGTGGAAAGCAGAGAGAGAGAGAGA